TAAAGTAAAAAAAAATTTGATTTGCACATTTTAATTCGTGTGTAAAATCATTGCAAATTGGATGTTCCTTTTAGCTAATTCTGACGTTCTGGACGCGCTGGCACGGTCCTTTTTGCCGTCGGAAGTCGTTTTGACGAATTCATCGATTTGTGTGCTAATTTTCTCGTGTCGAAAATATGACAATATGGGTGTCCTCTCCTACCAAAATGGGTATCCCAGACGCGTTGGCGCAGTCCAATTTGTCATCGGAGGTCGTCCGAAGAAGTTCGTATTTTCACCCGTCCTTTAGGCTTAATTGAAGTCCGATTTCGTGCAACTCAGTGAATTTTGTGCATTTTGTGTGTGTATGTGACAAAAAAGACGTGACGATGTTTTCCTAAGGCTTGAAGTCCTGTTATGAACATTTTCCTTGAATCTTCGCAAAATAGCCCATAACCGCTCGTTCATAAGACGATGGTCTTGTGCCAAAAATGCTAGTCATCAAAGAAAAAAAAAATAGGAAGTGGTAATTTCTAAAAGGGTGGGTCTCAATTCTAGTTTTCTAAGATGATCAATAGGAACCCCTAGAGCTAGATCCTAGGATCCTAGAAAAAGAAATGACCTCAAAAATGAGGTCAACATGAATTTGAATCATATGCATGACAATTATGTGATTTTTTTATGCTCCAAATATTGATGAGGTTTATGAATAGTTAATGCTTTGATTTCAAATTGTTATGAAAATTTTGTGTTTTGAATTGGAGTTTAAATGTGTCAAACACATCTTTCAGGCATAATCTTTCATTCTTCACATTCTTCACATTCTTCACAGAACAAGAATTATACTAACGACCTTCCTTCTCACTCCTGCACCTCCTTCGCCTGTCGATCGAACAAATCACGTGAGGTTCCCGCCTGTGATTGCATCTGCCGCTTTCCTAAAGATGCTTCTGACGCTTTGCCCCTTGCCGACCTCATACTTATTGCAGGAATAGCGGCTAAGGCATCGTAGTTTGTCATATCCTCTAGCCACCAAACCCTCAGCCATTGAAGCCCTCCTTGTCTCTTTCCTCCGCCTCTTTCATCTTCCTAAACGTTAACTGACACAACCTCCTTAACTGCCAATCCTTGTTCTTCCTCAAGCCTGAGGCAACCTCCATAGCTTCTAGTTTTTCTCTATACTATCAAAATTCTTCCTCGTTGACTTAAAACATTCATCTTCAACGGTAACACTTAGCTTTTCACGCTTACTTTATAGACATATTCTTCCTCATCTCCCTTTTAAATCACCGAAATTAATTCTTTCAAAAATATTAATTTATCTTAATTATATTTTTAGAATAACTATTAAAGTTCATTCAAAATAAATTCTTATTTTATTAGTTTGTGTAGAATAAAAATACCTATTAATAAGAATAATAATAATTACTATTAACATTATTTTTATATTTGGATATTGAGGTTGTCACTTAGGGTACTTAGATCTGCCTAATAAACCTTAATTCATACATTATAAGTGCAATTGGATATGACTTAGATGTTAGAATAAATCTTTGATTGTGGGAACTTCAGGTGGATTTTCATTTGTCGTAATGTGTGGAACAACATTTAATATATGTAAAGCTCGCAATAATCACACTAAGGTAAATAATTATTTTTAATCAGATGATAAATGAATATTTTATCATTAGGGAAATCATCCTTGTTGTTTGTATTAGATTCCTAGTTATAGTTGCTTTGCAAGTTTGACAATCCTATATTTTTGTACCTCATTTATATTGTTGCATACCTGCTATAGAATTATTATATTATTCATCAAATGAATGCCTGCATTAATTTATTATTGCATAAATTTTTACACATTTAATTTATAGCTTTTGCGGTTGTAGTGATTACTTTTCTTAATCATTATTTTTAATTAATTGTAGTTAATTTTTGTCATGTTAAAATCATATTATTATGCATTATGTTATAAAATTACCTACCAAAAAAATTTGCAATTGTATGGATCTGTGCAATGATATGTATTCGATAAAACTCTTTTAAATATTAGCTAGTTGAGCAGACAGACCCATAGACTTTATAAAAAATTACTAGGTTCTCTTGAGTTAGCGCTAACATTCTCAATTTCAAGGAATTTGATAAATCCACTATATAGATATCAACTAAAATGAAGGGCCCTTTTGGGGCAGCTTAAAATAGCGGGCGGCGTTCTGAAAACGCTGTCGTACTGTTTGTTTTTCACATTTGTATAGCATTTCAAAATCCGTCGTTTCGATTTTGTGAATAACGCCGCCCGCGGGATAATCCCTACGGGTCGCGTTCCTTGGTTGTGTTTACTACCGTATTACCCTGCTACCCTCGCCATAAGCAAATTGTGATTTAGCTCTGCCCTAGCCGCTCGCTGCTTCTTCGGCATTACTTCGCTCACGTTCCTTCCTTCGCAATCGAGCGCCCAAACCTCTCACTGGTTCTTCGGTATTCCTTCTCCTCCAATAAAAACTCATCTCCTTTTTTTTCGTTTCTTCTTCTGCCACGACATTTGCTGGCCTGTCAAACTAGTGATATAAGAAGAACAGCGGGCAACATAAATTGAATCCCTGATCTTCTGCCTCCTACTCAAGCCATGTCTATTGTGCCCTGCTTCTTCTCCATGTCATCCTTGAATGTTTTTTAAGCTTTCAGGCCCACTACAAAAGAGGAAAAAGAAGGTTTGGCTTTCGCGAGGGAAAGCCAGCCACACACACAAGCAAACAAGCTATGGTAAAACCAAAAGAACAGCAAGCAGAATCCTCTACTTATTAAGAGCTTCGTCGGAGCCTCTCATGTCTCTTTCCCATAACCACCAAAGTGCCTTGTATGCCATAGACATGACGCCAGATCTGTCTCATACAGGACGCCGCATCATATTTTTTTGATGTTTTTCTCTGCTTTCCAATATGCTAACTGTGTGTGGATAAGCCTATTATTTTGTCATACCTGATGCTTGGATTGGTTTTTTGAGACGGGTATGATGAATCATATGGCTATTTGGGTTCTTATGGATGACCTCTCTTTTGCCATGCTTTTCTACATATATAATTTTGGTCTTAAGTGCTTTTGGCAACCGTGATTATCTACTATAAGGTTCTTCTGCCTTCTTATGATGACAGATTATTCATCTCTTTATGCTTACTTTTAGCTTTGATATTTATGAGGAGAATGTGCATGCATACCACAAAGTTTATATGTATTTATATCTAACATCTCAACTTGGTTATTTTCACTTTCTTTATATTTTGTTTAAATCTTTTATTTGGGTTTGTGAAATTCTATTTTTAGAGGGTTATGATAAGTCGTATGACCCAAGTGGTTCTTTTGGATTGCCCTTCTTATATGCTTTTCTACATATAAAAATTTGATTCAAGCGTTCCTGACAAACAAGATCCCCATCATTATGGGTCTACTGCCTTCTTTTGAAGGTAGATTATTCATCTATTTATGTTTACTTTGAATCATGAGTTTTTATTTTTATATAAACTTTGGTTGAATCTTTTTGATATATTTGTCAAATTTATTTTTTTTATTATGTTAGAAATTCATGTTTTTTTTATATTCACTCTTAAGTGGAGTGTATACCATATTTTTGTACTGTCATAAATTGCTTTATTTGGTTCTCAACTGTCAAATGTATAGCAGTTACAATTCTGTTACAAACAAAAACACTGCGTAGTGCCAAAATAGTAATTTACCAAAAAAAATCACAAATAAACTATTTACAAAACGCACAAATCAAACAACAGAACAGCTTATTCAGAACAAGGGCAGAATGATCATTTATCCAAAATCAGTTGTTTTCCAAACACACAAACCAAACAGTCAGTCAATTTATCCGGATCAGCTGCTCATCAGCATATTATCAGGATAAGTTGTTTAGCAGCATAAGCTGGATAAGCTGCAGCTGCCCCAAACAGACCCGAAATTGAATAACAAATAATTGTTAAGTCACACACTAGTGGGACTTGTTTGGATTGCAAATGATCGCATTGAACTATATAGAAAATTAATTGTCAACAATTACAAAATTCATTAAATGAGTAAGCATAATCATTACTATATTGGACATTGCTTTAACGCATATAGCATATCAAATTTGACACTAAGCTATCTTTGGGGTCTTATGAAAAGTTAGATAACATTTTTTTTTTGAAAATATATATATATATATATATATATATAAGAAATTGTTCTTTTTTGTTATTCATATTTCATATCTTAATTTTGTCATTTATATTCTAATAAATAGTAATTATTTACTAAGTTTGATTAGTTAAACTCATTTGTTAAATTTTTTTTACAACAAATTTTATAAGACATCCAGTGAACCCTCATCATATAAGTAGCTTATTCAAAATTAAACCTATTTTTGGTACTTTCAATTTAGTTGTTATTAGTTTCCTTAATGAAATGTGATTGTAAATTTCATTAATTTAATTTTAAAAAAAAAATTCTTGCTTATCCTTACTATCTTTATTAGCTAGATACAAATTTATCTTTTTGAGAGTGCAAAACAGGTTTATATACAGTCATCTAGGTGTACCACTTTCCAGACACAAGATGTGACATAAACTATATCATAGACCTTTATCTCAACACATATATAAACGATCAAATATTAATTTGAACATTAATGAATTTTTTAAAATTTTAAGCCAGTTTTCAAAGGCAAAAAGGTCTTGATTCAATACTAAATTTATTTTATGAAGATAATAAATTTTCTTCCTGCAGACATTCATTTCTGAAATTTGATATAGCTCAATGGATCAATATATATGAAAATATGTTCTTTGCTTCCATAGTTCGAGCAAACAAGCAACAAGTTAAGTAGTCAGGAGCAGCTTCCTCATGCAAACTAGTGATTCAACTTAATAATAAGAATAAATCAGAAAATAAACATGAACTGGTAATAATAGGTTAGCTATGCTTAATGTCAGCATTTAAAAGCAAAATTAGCTTGAAAATTAGAAACTTTTCATGTTTACCTCGCTCAAGTGCATATTAAATTCATCAATCTGCTTGAGCAAGTCTGCGGCCAAATCAGAAGCATCCATAGGGGACAACAAAAGCGATACATTTGAAATAGTTTGCAGAAGAGACACACGATCTCTACCCCATGAGATTGAATTAGGCCCTTCTCCATCAGTTGCTCCACCTTTGCCTCCCTTTGCTTTGTCAAGAAGCTTCCAATGATGATGAAGGAACTTCCAATGAACTGCCTTGGGTGTGAACAAAGAGACCTCTGAGAGAAGCTGCCAAGCACCAATAGGGGCTGTCCACCTCTCTATAGATATGCAATTTCTCAGATACAAAGATTCTGAGATTGATATAATGTTCTCAAGTGAAATAGCAATTGAAGGCTTGAGTTTCTTCTTCTTCCCTAGGCTAGTACATATCTTCTTCACACAAGGAAGAACTTCCCCATCACATATCCCTTTCAACAAAGTCAACACACCTTCAGGAATTATTGATTCCAAGTCTTTTGTTGCATCGCTGATGCTAACATGAGAAGCTTGGGATATTCGATCCAGCAACAACTCAAGAAAAAAATTCTCACATTCTTCCTGTATACTTGTCTCGTTGTCTGCAATTAAGCGAGGTACAGCATGAAGCCATTCGGAAATAACCACCTCATCTGGGAATCGTCTATAGACCTTTAAATCCCACCCAACAGAGTTAATAAAGACAAATAAAATACTAATTTGAAATCTAAGCACCTAGAAAGGAAAGAATGTAGGCACACACATACGGAATGAAACCACTAGAAATCTGGTCAGGCATGAGTGACCGCAATGATTACCTCTGATATCGCAGACATAGCAGCTTTGCGGATGCTAACAAGAGGATCCATGCATGAAGATCCTATGGTCTTTAATACCAAGTTGTCAATTGGGCTGCCCATCAAAGATGAAGACCTGGTGATTAGAAATAGAGAAGCTTTCCTTACTGCAGCTTTCTCATCTAAACATCTCTTTCTAAGACGCTCATTAAACTTTGCATTTCCAAATGCTACCCCTTCCTGCAAACATGCAGAATTCCTGGCATCCCTGGATAAGATTTCAATCACCTGAGCCATGTTCGTTAGTGCCCGAGCTCGAACTCCTGCCATAGAATCAGAACAACGCAGCAGCAATGCCTTCAAGCATTTCATTCCCCAACAGCTAGAACCCTCCAATGATTCACACGCTCCCAGAGGGTCAGGCAACGATGTCAACAAACCCAGAATCAGATCGGCCGCCAAAAGCCGTAGCTGCCACTTACCTTGCGTCATTTTCACCACGTACTCTGCAAACCCAATTCGGTCATCCTTCTCAAAAGCCCTAACAACCTCCAGGATCGCATCCACCGTCGCAGCTCTTGGCTCGGCCCTTTCTGGAGCGTTCGAAGCGAGATATCTTGGAAAATAAACTAAAGCCTTCCTAATTTCCCCATTCTCCCGAGCCAGAGAGGCAATTTTGCAGGCTACGAAACTTATGGTGGACGTTCTCAAAGCAGACTTTAGCGGAGAGGAAAGGACAACCCGCCCAAGAGCTCTTAGAACCTCGACGGCGATAGCAGTTTGAAAGCCTTGCTCGTGGCGAGAGACGACCGAGAAGAGAATTCGGAAACAGACGTCGGAGAGGCCATGTTGGTCGGAGGCCGAGGAAGAGAGTATGGCGACGATGGTTTCTACAAGGGACTTGACACCATCAGGCAAGGAGTCGAGGCGGATACGAGACAGGACGGAGTCAAGAAGACCAAGTACAGTAGGGAGGAGATCTCCGACATTTGGAGCATCATCGACTCGTAGTTTGCCGCGAGGAGCTCGACCTTGCTTGCGCTTCCTTTGGCAGTCCGGCGATGGTGGGGAAGGAAGGGGTTTAAGAGCTTGACGGAGAGAGCTGAGTAAGGAAATGAAGGCAAGAGGCGAAAAGAGGGAGAGGACGGGGGCTGAGGGGGTGAGGATTAGTGAGAGATAGACACGAGCAGTGAGGAGGGAGGTGTGAGGAGAAGAGAGGTCCATGGCAGCGGCGAGGGGACGAAGAAGAGAGGAGGGCGACAAACCGATAGCGGCAAGATGTGACCAGAGGGGGAAGGGGGAATCATCACAGAAGCCACTAGACTTGGCGGAGGAGAAAGAAGAGGGAAGAAGGAAATCAAGATCAAGAAGGGAGGATTCGGGAAGGGGGTCTTCAGGCGGGAGGGATTCCAAGTCGGACAAGAAGCGGGAGAGCCTTTCGTCAAAATCGCCGCCGTTCATTTCGTCGTCGGCAAGGTTTCCTTCCTCCGCCGTCAAGTTTTGGATTTCCACCTCGCTCAGGGAGGAAACGCCCAGTGGGGCTTTGGTTCCCCTCACTGCAAAGGCACAGTGAGCTGAGGGGGCTGTAGAGAAACGGATTTAGTGAATCCTGAAGGGCTGTCTGGTAACGGATTTAGAGCAGGATTTAAGCTGGTTTTAACCTAAATCTTGCCAGACTGTCATTTTGGACAAAATAAAGCCTCGGATTTGGTAAATCCGGATGCTTCGCGCGAAAAAAATGACGTGAAATTACCTTCCTCAATGGTTTCGGGTAGGAGAGGAGCAGCAGCAGGAAAACAATGAGAGTTTCGGATCTCTGTAATCCGCCATCCCATCGTTGCGTTCGCAGCTAGTTCTAATTGCGACTGTGTCGATTGGATTGGGGACGAAGTCGGTGGTTTTAAACGATACAGAGAGGGAAAGAGAAAGAGGGACATTGCGGTATTATATTAGCGTTATATTCATATAATCTCTAAATAATTTATCTTTAACCTACATGAAATTATAAATAATTTATGCGCTTCTATTTTTACATATCTGTAAATTACATGTAGGTTACATGAAAGTTATATGGAGGTTACAAGTGATATAATGTGAATATAATGCCCAAATAACCTTCATTATCTACGCAGCGCTGTGTACGTCTTACGTACGCAAATTTCTTCCTTCTAGCAGAGGAGCAATGTGGGCGTGGGTTTCATTAATTTTATTTAAGTTAATTTTCTTCATTGAATTTTTTTTAAGTTAATTTTATTAATTTAATTGATTAATAGTTAATTAAAATATTATCAGATTAATTACAACAACAACAACAACAACAACAAAGCCTTAATCCCACTACGTGGGGTCGGCTACATGAATCCTTTTTCTCCATTGCGTCCTATTTAGTGTCATATTTTCATTTAGTTCTAGTAAATTAAGATCATTTTTAATACAATAAGCCCAAGTCTTCCTAGGTCTACCTCTGCCTTTCTTAACACAAGTCGAATTTAAAACATCTACTCTCCTAATCGGATCATCTAATGGTCGACGTTTAATATGACCAAACCATCAAAGACGACTTTCTCTAATTTTGTCGTTCACAGGAGCTACACCAACCCTATCACGAATATATTCATTCCGCATTTTGTCTCTAAGTGTAAAGCCACTCATCCACCTAATCATTCTCATCTCGGCAACACTTAACTTATTATTATGCTTCTCTTTTAAAGGCCAACATTCAGCGCCATAGAGCATTGCAGGTCTCACCACCATCTTATAAAATTTTCCTTTCAGTCTTAGCGGTACTTTTCTATCACACAAAAGGCCCGAAGCATTCCTCCACTTCAACCAACCAACTTGAATTCTACTATTAACATCCCCATCTATATCACCATCGCTTTGGACAACAGACCCAAGATATCTAAATCGTTCACACCTTTTAATAATTTGATCACCCAAAGTCACACATCTGTCACTAGAGCTATTACTACTAAAATTACATTACATGTATTCAGTTTTAGTTCTACTTAAACGAAGGCCTTTAGACTCCAATGTAGACCTCCATAATTCAAGTTTTTCCTGGGCTTTTTCTCTCGTTTTATCCACGAGAAGAATATCATCAGCAAAAAGCATACACCAAGGTACATCCTCTTGTAGATGTCCAGTAAGACCATCCATAACTAAAGCAAAAAGATATGGGCTTAAAGTCGATCCCTGATGTAAACCAACAGAAATAGGAAAATATTTTGTCAATCCTCCTTCAGTTTGAACACAAGTAACAGCTCTAGTATACATATCTTTAATGACTTGAATATAAGTCATATCAACACATTTCTTCTCGAGAACTCTCCAAAGGATATCTCTTGGAACATTATCGTAAGCTTTTTCTAAATCAATAAAAA